GACCGGCTGTTGAGTCGACCAGGTTATCAATTTTAGGCAGAGGGTAACTGTCTTTGGGGCACGCCTTGTTTAAGTCTGTGTAGTCTACACACATTCGCCAGGTGCCATTCGGCTTTTTAACAAGCACCACATTTGCAACCCAGTCTGGGAAGTAACATTGCCGAATGAACCCTGCATCAAGTAATTTTTTAACTTCGGCGGCTGCCGCCTGACTTCTTTCTTCGCCATGGTTCCGCTTCTTTTGTCGTACCGGCTTCTTTTTCGGATCCACGACCAGTTTATGTACCGCCAGATCAGGACTAATGCCTGGCATTTCATGGACTTCGAATGCAAAGATGTCCTTGTATTCTTTCAATAGGTTGTGAAAGTCGTCACCAAGGTTTCTCAGAGCAGTCGTCCCAACTTTGACTGTTCGGTCAGGACGTGAGTCGTCTTAGATCAGGTCCGCATGCTCACCAGCCGGCTGTGGGCGGAACTCATCCGGCCGCTCCTCTGCCAATGATTGCTATTTTCTTGCTTTTCTTGCGGCCCCTGTCTGGGATGCCTTTCTCTTTTTGCCGCCTGCTTCTTGAACAGGCGCACTCTCCTTGTCAAGGTCTGTTTTTTCACCGCTTGACCCAGTAGCCATAACAGTGGGCTTGACATCCGAGAGATAGCACTCTCGGGCCATCCTCTGATCTCCCCTTAGGGAGCCGACTGTTCCATTATCCCTCTCAAACTTGAGCAACATAAGAGATGGGATTATAACAGCCGTGGAATTATTCAGGGTAGGTCGACCCAGAATCATGTTGTAGGCCGAGAGTTCCTCTACTACCAGGAACCGGACTACCATGTGTCGTCCTTCCCCTTTTTCGCCCAGGCGGATGGGTAAATCTACTCGTCCCAGTGGGTGGACGACTCCTCCTCCAAACCCTACTAAAGGGTGGGAGGCCGGATGTATGCAATCAGTCTGATATTTTAGTTTCGACAGACATTTGCTACTGATGAGATCTGAGAAGCTTCCGGTATCTATGAGGATTCGACCAACTCTCTGGTTGGCCACTTTACATTCAATAACGAGAGGGTCGTCATGCGGCCCCCTTACCCCTCCTAGATCTTCTTCAGTGATGACAATCTCAGGAAATGAATATTTGGACGACCGTTCTTGGTGAACGGAATTTATATCTAACCGCCTGATATTGTCTTTGTTGCCCCTAATAGTGGGGCCGCCTCCTGAGAAGTCGCCTGCAATGGAGTAGACGACTGCATCATCTGTATCAGAGCTGTCGGCCTGCTGATTCTTTTTGGCCGACTGCTTTTTTGAGGAAGTGTTCCCCGTAGATTTCTTGACATAAGTGTCAAGATCACCTTGCTCAGCCAGGCGGTCTAGGTACCGCATGAGACTGATGCAGTCATTGGTGTGATGACCAACATCATCATGATAAGCACAGAATTTATCTTGGTTCCGGTTGTTTGCAGAACCCTTCATGGGGACCGACTTCTCAATTGAGATTCGTCCCTTGATTTCTTTTAGGATAAACTGGTTATCCTTGTTAAACGCATACTTTGGGGAGTATGGTTTGAATTCTTTTTTCTTTTTCTGGGCCGGCTGTTTAGAGGAATCAGCCGCCCAGACCTCTTTTCTTTTCTCATCTTTGTTTGACGACTGTTTCTGTCGTCCTTCTCTTTTGTCGAACCTTTTCCCGTCCGACTGTTTTATCGTACAAAGATCAGTCGCATGTATATAGGCTTCTGCTTCAATCAAGGCCTCTTGAAGAGTCGCCACCCTTTTTCGAACCAAATCAAATTTGAAGGTAGACCCGTCTTTGAGACCTCTGAAAAAGTCAGTATAAGCTACCTCATCCGGTAACCCTTGAATCTGTATTCTCATCAGGTTAAACCGCCTGATGTAAGAACGAAGCCCCTCCTTCTCGCCCTGCTGAATTGTTCCCAAATCAAGGGTCGTTTTCTTCGCAGGGATGTTCATGGCAAAGTTGGATGCAAATAAGTAAGCAAGCGTCCTGAAACTATTTACACAACCAGTCGGCAGGTTGCCGAACCATTGCTGTGCGATTCCTTTGAGAGTCGCTGGGAAACACTTGCACCAAGTGGGATCATCCAACCCTTGAAGGTACATCAGGTTGGTGAATACCATCAGATGGTCTTCTGGGTTAGTAGTGCCATCATAGGCGCCTACTAGTACATTTTTCACTTTGGCCGGCTGAGCGGCTTCAGTAATTTCCTTGGAGAAGGCCGACGGTTGTTCACCAAGTCTAAGCAACCGTAGCTGTCAGTCCATAGGTTGGACGTTTTTTGCTGCAGGTCCACCAAACGGAGGTGGCTGCAAAAAATACTGTTGTTGCGGCACAAATGGTAAGTTTGGTACCGCCTGGTTGCTATGAAAGCCGGACTGACGGGAGGTGCCGCCTGACTGACTCTCATGATACGACTGAGTATGCCTCATCGAGGCATTTCGCAAACTGTCTTGAAAGTTTGAAGTAGAGGCCGACTCTGACAATCGGTCACTCTTCTTCTGCTCTAGCAGTAGCCGAGCATCTGTGAATGTTTGCTTCGACCCGTCCGCCTGAATATGACGAACAGGTTTCCTATTTCCTGTAGGATAACGAAATTTTGTGAAATCAAGGGCAGGTGGCTCCCGCTTCCTAGATTTAGGATGAGGAGTCGCCTCTCGCCCTTGAACTGGCTTCCTCTTCAGTGAAGTGGAGGGTTTCTTGGCCGACTGCTCCTTGACTGGAGCAGGCGGCTTCTTGTTGATCAACTCTTGAATCTCTCCCTTGAAGTCCCTCATGAAGGTCATGAGTTCGTTCCTTGTGATGGGAGCAGACCCATCAGTCGGCTGTTGCCGAACAGGCGGTGCGCCTGCTGGCTCGCTTCCTGTTTGAAGATGCTCCCGTTCCCTCCTTTCGGTATGACGGGTACGTCGGGCCCTTAGGGTCCCGTCTGAAGCTGTATGAGCTTCAACTTTGAATTCACTTTCGGTATCATGGTCCGACTGAACTTGAGGGTCGTCTAGGGGACGCCTCTCTTCAGGAGTCGGTACAGACTTGGATGCCATCTCAGAAGTACTCTCCCCACAGACGGCGCCAAATGTTTCGGGGTTTTCTGATGTCCTGCGGGAGAGTTACAATTCCGAGACTGGAACCGGACGCCTGTACCTGCAAAATAACGGAGACTCCTGTGAGCTCCGCCTCCAACGGTCAAGTTAGTACTTGATTAAGGAGTAATTAATGCGGAAATTAAAGTGATTAAGTCTCTCTAGGTGAGAGTGATTAACGTAGGTAATCTGCTTTGTTAGCGAGATCAGCCGATTATTACTGTGTGTAATTAATGTGTTTTTTCCGTAATGTTTCTGTTCTCTTTTTTGTAATCCCCCTTAATGAGGATTAAGGAAGGTATTTATAACCTTGGGAAACGTGCCCATCCTAGGTTTAGGTAAACCTAGGGCCGATTGGGCTTCCCTCGGAAGTTGGGCCTGGGTGGCCGGTTTCTCCATTAGGCATGGAGTATGCCACATGTCTTGACATAACAGGTCCAAGGTGGACGAATAAGCGCGTGCCACGTGGGAACCCTAGCTGTTCCAACTGGGGGACACTTGGCAGGACCTGATTGGTCCACGTGGCGCATTCCGATTGGTGGGAGCAAAATCCCCTAATCAGCACTGATAATATGTTTAAGTTGGAAGCTAAAAGAACAATCTAAAATGTTACAATTTTACAACATAATGTCCAACATAATGCTCTATAAACAAAATACAATAACCATCAGTAATCCCTCCTCGACGACGACTCCCACTGCGCAAGGGTCTGTTCCAGACTATCAACAACAGCTCTCCCTGTTGCACTCATGCTGTCCTTCTCAAGAGAGAGTTTCTGTACGCAGATGATGTGCCAGATCTACTAACAAACCTACCACCCCTACCCTTACGCACCTCCACCATATGCGTCTCGTACATGTCATCAACCCTCTAACTGAATGGACCGTAATCATCATACGGTCCACTGCCATCGTCCACATCCTCATCCTCATCTGCGCCCTCCTCCTGCTCCTCCTCCTAGTCACCCTCCTCAGCATCATCATCGTCATCGTCATCCTCATCCCGACGGTGGATCCGTTCTCTACGAACTGAGGCCGAAATACCACGGGATCTGACATGTCTATGCCCCGACCTCTCCACTGAATAACTTCTACTAAGAAGCTCTATATTCTTCCCCGCACCATGACGACCCAGTGAATTCTACACCAAATTTTAAAATATATAAACATACAAAAATTTATACGATAAATAATCATCATCGCAAATCAAATAAACTAAAAACATACAAATAATTGTAAACAAAATATAAACGTAGAAAAAATACAACGAAATTGAAAAAAATTATAAAAATAAACAACAAAATATAAAAACAATTCAAAATTATATTACACAAAAAAAAAAAAATTAAAAACAATTTTTTAAAAAAAAAAAAAAAAAATGGGGGGGTGGGGCGCCCTGGCTGGACGCCCAGCCAGCGGTGGTGGCGCCAGCTGCAGACGCCGCCACCAGTTGGCTGGCGCCTGGGCTGGACGCCACAGCCACGGTTGCGGCGCCTTGAATAAACGCCACAACCGTGGCTGTGGCGTCCAGCCCAGGCGCCAGCCAACTGGTGGCGGCGTCTGCAGCTGGCGCCACCACCGCTGGCTGGGCGTCCAGCCAGGGCGCCCCACCGCGGTCACGGCGATTTTTTCCTTTTTTTTTTTTTAAACAAAATGTACCTTTCCTCCTTGGGACATCCTTCCCTCCGCCGCCGCCGCCAATTCCTTGCCTTGCCGCCTCGACATTGCCGTTGTTTGAAATTTTTTTTTTTTTAGAGAGGTTGAAAGAAGATGAGCAATGAGAGTGTGAGTGATGAGAGTGTGAGTGTTTTTTTTTTTAAGGTCAAGGGTAATTTTGACAAATCAAGTGAATTTTATGGGCTTTATGTAGTAATTTGTGGGCGATGTTTAACAAATCCCATAAAAAGATCTACTCACTAAATATTTCATATCTATTACAAGCAAAAAAGTACATATAACTACGGTCAACCACAACTTTTTAAAAAATATAAGTTATTAAAATAAAAAATTATATTACCAATATAATATGACTGTCTCTATAAATGATAAGATATATAGCTTCATCCTTTCTATATCCCTACATATATATAACTCTATAGTTTTGACGATAAAAAGGTTGAGGTTCCTAAATTGTCTCATATTTATTTCAGTAGTATTTCTACATCATAAATAGTGAAAAAAAATCAGATCCATATATCAATCAAGCTTATAACCTAGGTAATTCGTCTCTACTTCACCGATTTCATCTGCTACATTTATGCACTATGTATATATTAATTGATTTGTACATTTATTACTGATTTAATTACTGCAATTTCAATAATTCACCTTATGTCCATAAATCTTTGTAATCAATTTAATCTTCTATGTTTAAATTAAGGATATTTGATGAATCATGCTGATTTAGAGTGTTTTAAACAATTTAATTTTAAATAAACCTAATTTTTAGTAGAAGAAACTATTATAGAATGTATTTTTCACCAAAAAATTAAAAATTAATAATAAGCAATATTATATAATTCAATTCAGGTATAGCCATGTATTTAAATTCAATAAATTATGCTAATCTATAAGTCACCTTGAATTGACAATTAAAATTACTGTAAAGTGTATACTTGAGTAGAAAATATGTTCGATTAGTAATGGACAATGTTTTTTTAAGACAGTAATGGACAATGTAAAATAAATAAATTATTTGTTTACTTCTTTCTTGACAAATACAGGTACCAATATGAAACCAGAATTACTATTTCTTAGTGAATTGAGTCCAGGAGCTGATGATTATAGAATAAAAGTGAAGGTAATAGACATTTCAGAGAGAAAATTATCTACGGATGATTGCACTTTCTACGAAACGCTTCTATTATGTGATGAAAAGGTATAGTTTGAAACTACATAGCCTTACATTAATTATATTCGAATGATACTTCATTATAAATTTAATGTTGTACTATACACCTTGGGTTTATTATTGTAAATGATATATTCATTTATATCATATTTAGTACAACAACAACAATATCTGCTCTTTTAACCCCTTTTTTTTCAATGAAAATGAATCAATTATTACATACACCAATATAGTCCTGTATGTCTATAAAACTTAAATATGATGACCAATATTGTCATATATGTCATATGTATATATCAGTAATCTGAAACATCTTGCACAACTAGAACCTGACTTTGACATCACTTACATCAGTAATCTGAAACATCAGTCTATTAAACAACTCGCACTTGCGCAACTCAGTTACATAAAATTAGAGTACTATGTAACAAAAAACTGACATTAAGTTATTTCATCGCATCCTCTAGGGAACTATGATGCATGCCCATTTAATTAAAGATCAGATTGACACTGTTGGTCAGAATTTCACAATAAATGCTCACTATGAGATAACCAATGATGCAATCAATCCAATGCCAAGATATTTTGAAAGAGCAATCATAAATATACCATACCAAATTAATTTCACAGACAAGACTTTGATCCAGCCCATATGTTCTGTAACTAGCTAAATAGAACCTGACTTTCAAGAAATATCAGAAATAGCCAAAGCACATTTCTTGGATGAGATATGTGGTATGTAAACTAAAACTTTCATATACCTTTAATAATAACAGCTATGTGGTTATAACATAATGTTTTATACAAAACTTCAGACAATCGGTTCTATAGCACAAGACATACGAGAAGACGTCAGATATGGTATCGACACTTACATTATAATTATTTCAATTTATATGTATTATTAAAGCTAAACTAACATATTTCCTTAATAATGGCAGATTTATCAGGAGTAGTCTTGTTTGTGGAGGAAGAAGTCTGTTTGGTTACCTTATTCTATGGACAGAAAGCCTATGTTCGAGAGGTTAACGTTGTCATAACTGACCAAACGTAAGTATTATATCCCACTATCTATTGTGCAAATAAATGCTACTAACGCCGAGATGTACCTAATTTAATTATCCAAACCTTGAACAACAACACCCAGCCTATAATTGTTAATGTATGGAATCATCTTGCTGGAAATAATTGTGAGCAATTAAAAGTTTGGGCTAAAAAATTTGTAGTCGTTGGGTTCACATCAGTCAGGCCAAGCAACCTCAATGGTTAGAAAATAACAATAATACGATACAATTCATCCGCTGTGTTTCTTCTAAGCTAATGATTATATGTATTTTTTAGGCTTCTCTCAGTCCACTAGAATGTAAAACCAGATTATCTACAATCCTAAAGGAGACAGAGCTAATGTGTTGCGAGAATGGTATCAATATTCTTTGTAATCACTTGTAAAACAAAATTACATTGACATCACTTACATTTATGTATTATCACTTGTATAGGTCAACCCTATATGCACAAATGCTATTAGATCGACAAGGAAGGATTCTGGAAGTTCAAGACCCTGCAAATGCAAGAGCACCTGTCACTATTCGATACCTGAAGGATAAAAAAGGTATTCAGCTTCACATCTATTATTACATATTAAACAATGGTTCCAACATAACTTTGCAACTTATTCCTTTTAACAACCAAATGCAGGTGCAAAATGCATTACAAGATGAAAGGCATTAGGTACTTGCAACTGTGACCTTTGTATCTATGGAACAACAGCTGAAAGCATATATAGGATTTTCAAAGTGTGGGAAGCCAACAAAACTACCAGAAGGGAGGCAATTTGCTTGTTCAAAATGTTATACCAAAGAAGCAAATGCTTGTCTCAGGTTATATTAATTCACCTATTCTTATAGTACCTTCATAAATAATACATAATCTTTTACTATGTATTGAATAACACAAAATTATATGCAGGGTTGCTTTAACTTTTGATGCTGCAGAGGCCTATGACAGCATAGCACTTACATAATTTGCCAATGAAACTGAAAAATCTTTGGAATGAATACAACTGATATATATAATATGATGGAAAATGTATGTATTCTAACTTATCAAGTAATATAGTTATTATCATTCTGTATACATGAGCTTACATATTCATATGCTAATGCTCACAGGGAAATTTAATTTGTTTCACAGCCATACAACAAAAAATAAGTTCCAAAGTCTTCTATCTGGAAGTTGGTCCCTACTAGCATTAACTGCTAGCAACATACTTCAGTGGACATTAGAAGCAGTTCAGATATAAGATGATCATGGTGATTGTACAACAAAGGGCAAAAAATAGGTCGAAGTTCCTCCACATATTGATGGTTCCAACATATCAAAAACAATTGATCAAGATGTGAGTGCAAGTTTCAGCAACTACGAATGCTTCTATTTCAACATTTGCAAAAGAACCCTTCCCTAATTGGTCAATGCATGGACGACCACGCTCTTTACTCAAAAGAAAACACTCCAACACTGTCAATGAAGTTGAAACTACAAAGACCAAGATCTGCATACCCAATGCTGATAATCAAAGAAATACCTTCTGTTTTCAATGAACCATACACAAAAATTACTGGAAACATCAACACTAATTCTCCACAAGAGTAGGAAATTGTATTCAAAACAGCAACCCTGACAACATAGCAACTGAAAATTCCTCAGCAATCAGCACAGACCTTCCAAAATGAACCAGAGATGGTACAAGGTTTGCTGAAAAACTCCTATTGCTAATTTAAAATATTCGACTATGTTTTATGAATGCTGCATTTTGCTCCCTTCGCAGCATAGTAATTTATATAAACCAAAAGTCAACAAAATCTATATGACTTAAATCTTTTGAAGGGTTGTGTAGGAACAAAGGTAATAGCCCCTGTTCCTACATAACACTCATCTTAGAATATAATATAAAGTTGTTGCATTTTGCACCCTCAACAACTTAGTAGTCTATGAAAAGTCATATATAATCTGGTTGTATAGATCCTTAATATTTTGGAGGGTTATGAAGGCACATAAGTGATAACTTTTGTTCCTACATAACACTTAATCTACATAGGTTAAAAGTAGTTGAACTCTTTTGCTCATTCTAGCTAACCATTTAAGGTTTAATAGGATATGATGTTAAGTAAGTTTAGATTTTATATGCTATGTATGTCTATTAATTGTAATGGAAAGCAAACCTTAAACTTTTGTAATGTAATAAATTAAGCAGTATCTAATAGAATATATACTTTTGTCTTATATAGTATACATCACCTTTCAAGCATTATAGAATCTGTTATAGCTTATTATGCTATAGCTGATTTAGATTGCTAGGTTTTTTTAAAAAAAAAAAATTAAATTTTTTTTTTCAATATGATGTCTTCTTCCAAGTTGAAAAGTAGAATGATTGTCATTTTTTCAACTTGAGAAAATAAATGAATCATGTGGAAAGTTTCATCATTTTTAAAACACTTTATAATGTCTCAAAGATACCCTGTTAAGCTTCCCAATAATTTTAAAGAACTTATTTCACCATTACTCCAGTCATTCTTTTCCATCTGTAGACATCATATTACACCTTAATCCCTTAGCCAACTTCATGTGCCTAAGATTAGACACTACTCACCATCATTTTCATCATTCTTATTCTAAGATTAATCTTAAGGATGTCCCCAAATTACATCCTTGTTCTTCACTAACTCAAATACAGCTTATTTATTTGAGATTCAAATCATCATTAATTTAAATGATATAAATGTATAAGATTAACAACTGATAATCATAAATGCTTATTCACTTGTAAGTATATTTAATGTTAACTTTCCTAAATGTGTTTAGCGTGGTGTTTTGAAGTACAAACTTGTGATGGCTTACTTCATATGATTTATAATATTTTATACACCATACATAGCATAGCCTAGCTTACTCATGGTGGCTTTAGCTGAGAAAGATATTCAAATGTCATAAAGCATTACAAAATCTTTGAAAAAGCTATACAACAACCGCAACAAATGAACAAGTGGCATAAAATATTTACTTTTAAAAAAACAAATTACCCACCATATCAGAAAATCTATGTGTATGGAAAATCTATATAACCATACTATATATCAACACGTGTAATCAATTATTATCTTTCCTTCTAAAAAAAATTACCTTATATTGTTACTATAAATACACCTCTAAAAATTTAATCTATGCACCTCCACATTAGCAAAAAAAATCCCCTAAAACAAAAACAAAAACCCTACACATATTATAATCACAAATACATCACTAGCTCATTACGTCGCTAAAATTATGTCTCAAAAACCGATTCATAATAATAAAAAAAAAAACTCCTACCTTCCACTTATCAATCAAAAAACAATTACAACTTATTTCAAAATTCCATTAAATAAAACAAAAACCTTGATATTCAATAGCACAATTTTTGCTAAAATATAGGATTATTAGCATAATTTTTGCTAATGTATTTCTATAACCGATTCTTTAATACAACTATGAAGTTGCCGGTTAAATTATCTTTGTCAACAACATATTTGTATTACAGTTTCTCAATAATTATTCACTGCCTCTGCAGTGCCGGGTTGTGCGAAATTCAGGTTTCCCATAACTCGTCTAATCTGGGTCGCCAGTACTACTATTGCCCGGGAAAAATTGTTAGGATTCTAAATGATATTATGTTTTTAAGTTTGATTACCTTATTATGGAGTAATTATTATATTAATGTAAAAAATGAAATGAAAGTTATTACAAAATTATGCAAAGGCTACGGTCATTATTTTACTTCCTTATAAATTTAAACCTTTAGTTATATATTTATAACACCTTCAATATCTTTGTATTCCATGCTAATATCTTTGTACCCTCTCCTGTGGAAAGAAAATAAATGGCCACAGTATTCCATGCTATCAAGAGTGTGAACTTTGTTACAAAATGGGAACAACAAAGATCAAGCATGAAGAAATGGTTCCCTTCACACACCTTCAACATGATTAGCCTAACACTTATGCCTTAGAAATTCATAATATAGCTGCTTACTTTTCTGTGCATTTTAATAACTACTTTTGAAAACTGTGTGCCACTTAATACCCCTCTATCTAGCTATTTTAAGACTATGTAATATAAAGATTGTCATTTTGCTATTATATATGGATGTTGGCTTTGTTATTGTCTTTATAACCCTTTTTTTTAAGAATAATTCTTTTTCTTTAACTGCATGTTTGGTCATTGTACTTTAGATTTTTACTTTTTTTTGGGGAAATTATAATTTGAATATACTATGCAGTTCATGCTAGAATTCGGTTGTGTACTAGAATTTGGATATACTATGCAATATATCCTGTACTATGTTGCTAAATTGTAATTAGATCACTTAAAGTGATTCAAACTAACTGCACTCAAGATATCTATCTTTTGTCATCAATGACATACTCATGTGATATATAGGCTTGTGATTAGAGGTGTCAAAACCGAACCGACCCGAAAAAAATTATCCGTTTCGAACTGTAACCGATCCGATTTGATCCGAGAAATTCAAGACCCAACCCGATCTGTAACCGAACTAAACTCAACCCGAATTCGAACTTGACCCGACCTGAACTTAACCCGACACCGATTTGATCCGACCTGAACTCAACCCGAATCTGATTTGACCCGACCTAAACTCAAACCGAACCGATTTGACCCGACCCGAGCTCAACCCGATCCGAAATTGACCCAAAAAATAAATGATCTAATCCGATTTGTTTTGACCCGAACTGATATTAACCCGATCCGATTTTAACTCGATTTCATTTTTACCCGATCCGAATTTAACCCGATCATAATTAATTATTTACTTTTTTTATTCAAGTTCTTATACTATATATTTACTAATTATTAATAAGTTAACTTTTTGACTACAAAGAAATAATCTGGAGTCTTAAGTTTACTTCATGTACATATCAATTATATTAATTTACTTTCTAAGCTTTAATAAATGCCACAAGATCTGATAAACCTAAACATTAAGCGGGAGTTAATTGATTTGCTTATAAAGCTCTAGTTAAATGCTACCTAAAGCCTATTGTCATTTTTAATGAATTTCCTCCCATTTTGTTATATTTTATGAACTAATAATTCTTTTCTCTAACACCTACAACCAATTATATCAATATAAATCACATTACTACTAGTCTGATGCAACCTATAAGAAACAATTATGAAAGAAAAATAAATAAAGTTTTAAAGGATATATCAAGCGGTTACATTTTCATTATAATAATTAAATATATTACATATACATAATCCAATGATTCAAACTTAGGTATTTTTCAGTAGTTTCCTTTTCATATACAAAATACGCTGCATATAATATCATTGCAATGTTTCGACTCCAATAATATGTTATGGGTAAGACTTCCTCAAAAATAACAAAAGCCTTGCACTTCCAAAAAAATTCTTGACTTCACAAAAAATACAAGGCATGAGATTTTAAACAGCTCCATGCTCAGAAATGAACAAAGTCTTTCAATTTTCTAGTTCATGCAGTCCTAAGTAAAGATTGTAGAGAATGAATTAGATATATAGTTGTGCAAAATCTGATTGCTTCAATAGTGTGCCTATTGTTTAGTAGTGAAATAAAAGGAGTGTTAAACCATTTTTACTAGAGCTTTACAAGCAAATCAATTAACTCCAAAGTGCTGATTGATTGATTTACTGATTTACTGATTGTTTAGTAGTGATTATTCACGCCGAAGAGTAATTGCATAATCAGTTTAAACTCCAAAGTTTAATTTGGGTATCCAAATAAGATCAACCGAAGGAAAACTGTAACATTTACTTAACTCTTGCTTCATCTCTACAATTTTTGTTATAACAAGTTTGCTATGATAATTCTAAGATGATTCAAGAGTTGCAATTCAGCTTGAATGAGGAAAGGAGGAAAGACTAAAAAGAGGAAGGATAGTTCAATCATACAGAACCGCAAAACAGAGCCACAAAAGTGACAAAACCAAGATTCACAGTTAAGGTTAAGCAAAATTATCACCATTTACACCAAATCAGACTAAGATAAAACAGCTCACACTCATACATTCTATAGAATCTTAACATTTTCTACCTACATTTTATTCCTACATAATGTTAAATGCTAATTTTTAAACACAATGCAAAACAAATCTATCAACTATTAATTAGTAGCATATCTCAAATGACAGCAAATTATAGAATGTCTCAATATTAAAATGATAAAGGGTGTGAATATACCTTGAGAATCTTGCTGCAAGTAACAATCTTAATCTACCAATTAGATATACCTTCTTCCAAAACTTAAGTAGTTTTCTCCACATAACCACAAATTTATTTACAAAAAAAAAGTCAAACATACCCAAAAAACATGCATGAATACATCAGGGGTTTTGTGAAATTTAAATTACAGAAGAAAGTGATTTAAACCATTCTTAACATTACAACTAAAGTGATTAAAACCATTGAAATTTGATGTTAAGAGGACAAAGGGACATACCAAAAAAATTCATTGACACAAGATCCCTTCTTGAAGCAGAGCACCATGAACAACATATGGTAGAAAACGACAATGTTAACTAATTAGCACTAATTATGTAAAAGAGCATAAATATATAGAATAAACACTTAAAAAAATTAAAAAAACTTACAATTTCCAAAACAAAACATATTTTCTCCTCTGGGTTCACTGTCAGAAATAAATCAATAACACAAAATGTAACAACAAGAAACAAAACTCAGTTTCTACCAATGCATCAAACAAAAGAAATAATAAAGTTTAGAATTTGATGTTGAGATATCAAAGGGGCTTACCAAAAAGAGGGTCATTAATGCAAAAAGCGCTTCTTACTTTCTAAGTCTTCGTCATCAATCAATTGAGGCACAACCTCCCTAACAACATCCAAATTGGAATCATCTATAGGTTCATCATAACCCTTTATCCAACTTTGAGTTGTTATCAAAACCTCAACATTTCTACTTAACAACCTTGACCTGAACTTGGACAAAATTTTGCCTCCCATACTAAAGGTAGATTCTGAGGCGACAGAAGTAATTGGAATGGCTAAGACATCCCTGGCCATACGAGCAAGAATGGGATACACAGAGGATTGACCTTTCCAATAATCAAGAACATCAAACTTTTGCCCATCTATGACTGGCACAAGAGGGGAATTGAGATATGAATCAATATCAAATTTGACCCCCCTGCTTGCGCCCATACTTGCAACATATCTCTGTTTTAAAAAAATTTAAAAATACAACATAGCAAACACGCACACACAGTCACAAACACAAAACAAATTAAGAACCTCCAGAATAATAAACTTTCAAATAACATAAATAGAATCACCTTTCTAGTGTTAGTCTTCTTATAGGGCCGAGAAAGAACACTTGAAGCACTTATAGTAGAAGATAAATCACTTTGATCAGAAAACGTAGAAGTAGTACTAACACCAGAATACGAGGTATAAAGCTCAGTAAAAGCATAATATGCCTCATCCACCTTTTTAGCACTCTCATCATGATGATACAATGTGTCATACATATCCTTCACAATTTGAGCTTTATAACGCGGATCAAGCATAACAGCGATAACAAGTATGGAAGTATAATTTTCCCAATACTTAGAAAATTTATCCAACATAGGAGCAACCATTTTTTTAATGCAATCATCAGGGTCAGCATGAGCAGAAACCAACAAGCTTTCAATATAAGCAATGTTTTCAAAATACAAATTAGATGTAGGGTACTCAGAACCAGAAAACAGAAATGTAACATCATAAAATACTTCAAGAAAATCACACACATTTTGTATGGTTTGCCATTCAGCAGCAGTTAGACAATATGGAAAACCAGATTCTAAAACACAAAACCTATCAATACCAACTTTAGCTTCCAAACACTTTCTGAGCATCAAATATGTCGAGTTCCATCGAGTTTTCACATCAAGTTTCAGCCTACCAGAAAAACCAGACTTTGATGACTTACATGCTTCTTCAAATCGAGTAAGTCTTGCATGAGACCAATCAATGTACTTTGCAATTGAGCGCAATTTAACAACACTTTCATCAACTATGTCAAGACCATCCCTTACAATTAAATTCAAAATATGAGCTGCACATCTAACATGAAGAAACTTGCCATCACATGGTAGAGAATGAGATTCTAGCAAATCTTTCCTAAGCTCATCAACCATAACATCATTTGCCGATGCATTATCAATAGTAATAGAAAAGACTTTCCCTTTAAGATTCCACTCATCAATCAATTTGACAGTAATATTATAAATATCCTTGCCATTATGTGGAGGAAGGAAATATCTAAAAGACAAGACTTTGGACCGAAGTGTCCAATTCTCATCAATAAAATGAGCAGTGAGGAAAATATATCCACGAGATGTGCAAGCAGACCAAACATCACAAGTAAAGCATATTCGGCCAGGTATTTTAGACAATTCATTAGACAATATAGCTTTGTGCGTGTCAAATAGATGGGTCATTGGTGCATTGGGGTAAGCAAGAGACAATTGATAGACCTTATAGTGCAGACCTTACTGAGCTAATATTCTAGTTCATCTTTCATCATTATTTGATTTTTTAAAAAAAATAAAAATAATATAGCAACGTTCCCATACATAAATATAGTGCAGACCTTAAATAAGGAAAATAAATTCCATAAAACAGAGGAAAAAGCAAAGAACAAACAAAAACAAAGCAACACCCAGAAACAAAAACAAATAAAAAACAAACTAAGCCAAGCTACTCCTGCTACCAAACTGAGGGGGAACCAGACGTGGTAGATCTACCCCTCTAGAATCCTCTTGTAAATCATAAATCATATATCAAAAACTTGCAATTAGTACAGAACTTATTAAATAATAAATCATAAATCAAAAACTTGCAATTAGTTTTATATCTTTGCAATTTAGTATAGATGTTGACCGTTTACAAATTTATTTTAATCTAATGAGCATACGATCCCCATGTATATTAAAATACTCGTATTAGTTGTATATAATAAGGGCATCTTTAAGGGTGAACTATTTAATTGTTCACAATGAATAAACAAATAAAGTGGTGGCTTAATGGCAAACCTTTAATGGTTCATGTTGAGTGGTCATGGGTTCGATTGCAGGAGCAAGCATTTCCATGAATTAATTCGCTGTGGGCCCCACCAATATTTTGGACTGGTATTATAGCAAAACGACGTCGTTTTGCTGTTTCATGGTGCAAAACGACGTCGTTTTGCTGTTGAAGCTCAGAAAAAAAAAATAGAAATCAGCGGCTGGGAGCGCGCCACTTGGCCCAGCCGCTGCTTGACACGTGTGCACTGTTTTAAATATATCCGTTGTAATTTTGCAACGGATATATTTTACAAAATACAAATCAAAAAAAAAATTACCAACAACTCTATTTTTTTCCCCTCTATAAATAGACACCCATATTGATATATTTTTTTCAACTTTCAAAATTCATTTTTTTCTACTATATTTTTCTCTTCAAAAATCCCCTCTATAATTACCAATATTATTATTATTATTTATACCAATATTAATATTATTATTGTTATTATTATTTTTAATTATTATCATTAATATTATTATTAATATTATTATTATTATTATTATTGTTTTTATTATTATCGTTATTATTATTATTATTATTTTTATTATTATCGTTATTATTATTATTATTATCGTTATTATTATTATTATTATCGTTGTTATTATTATTATTATTATCATTATTATTATCGTTATTATTATCGTTATTATTATTATTTCTATTATTATTATTGTTATTATTATTATTATTATTAAATTTTTATTATTATTGTTATTATTACTATTATTAAATTTTTATTATTATTGTTATTATTATTATTATTATTATTATTATTATTAAATTTTTAGTACGGGTGTGCTTCAGACGCTTGTGATGAGTATGTCCGTATAAGTGAGGCTACTTCACGATTGGCACTCCAAAAGTTTACAGAAGGTGTCATCAACCTGTTCGGTGATCAATACCTACGCCGTCCAAACATCGCAGATATGGAAAGATTGCTACGTATTGGGGAAGAACGTGGATTTCCTGGCATGATAGGTAGCATTGATTGTATGCACTGGGAGTGGAAGAACTGTCCACACGCATGGAAGGGGCAGTATCAAGGAAGAGAAGGAGTTGCAACTCTCATACTGGAGGCAGTTGCGGACAGAGATCTATGGATATGGCATTCGTTTTTTGGGATGCCAGGTAGCTACAACGATATTAATGTGCTTCATCGATCCCCTGTGTTCGAAGACGTCTTAGAGGGTCGGACACCTCCTGTCAACTTCGTAGTCAATGGTCATCATTATACGAATGGGTATTATCTTACTGATGGAATCTACCCTAGATGGGCTTCTTTTGTGAAATCCATTACGAGTCCACAAACTCATAAGGATCGTTTATTCGCAAAACACCAGGAAGCTGCAAGAAAAGACGTTGAACGTGCATTTGGGGTCCTTCAAGCTCGTTTTGCCATTATTAAAAAGCCGTCTTTGGCGTGGGATACCGACATACTCCACAATATCATGCTCGCCTGCATCATAATACATAATATGATCGTTGAAGATGAACGAGAGACGTATCAAAATAACGTTAATACCAATGAGTTTATGAATGCTGAAGGGAACGCTAATGAGGACACTACCGAGTACCGTACTGATCGTATTGTGGATATCGGCTTATACTTGTCTCGTAGAACAGAGATTGAGGATCAACAGACTCATTTGCAGCTAAAAAACGACTTGGTCGAACATATATGGAATAAATTTGGTAACAACGAAAACTTAGGCAACTAGGTTTACAACAAATGGTTATCCCTAAGGACATCTTACAAAACGATGTGTAGTTGTGTTTTTTTTTTAAAATAAAATGTACTAGATTATAGTTGTAGAACTGTAATCACGATTTGTACCTCCTTTTTTTTATGTTAATTAAAATTAGCTGCGTTGTTGTTTAAAAAATATTAATCACAAGAATTAATTTTTTAAAAAGCTGATAAAAAAACGCGATAATTTCTTAATTAGTAATCACGATTAAAATATTAAATACGTCAATTAATTACATTGACATCGGTTAATAAATTATAATTATGAAACAAAAAGATTATATTTACAAAAATAAAATAAGGTGGGGTAGGGAGTATTGATGATGAACCATTGTTTAGTGTTTATTGTTAAGAGTGAATATTGTAAATGGTTTGTTGGGTTGATGTGGATGAGAGAGAAATGGTGATAGTGACCCATGAACCATTTTTTTTTTGTTCACCAATAATGGTGCTCCAACAATTCATCTGAATAAAATAATTTGGGTAGCCTAAAAAGTCAGATCTATATGTATACTTTACTAATTTAAAAACAAAAAAAAATATCTAGCAATAACAAGATAATTTAGTTTTATATAATGGTGGGACTATTAGAAATTAAGATAGGGAGGTAAATTACATACCTACAAATGAAATGGAATTGCCAACGAATTGAAATATACGTATGAAACAGAGAAGTTACCCAGAATTTCGATGCTTGCCTTCAAATAAAATAAAATAAAAAAGGAAAGAGAATGAAGAGGAGGAAGGAGCAGCTATAGAGAGAACTAGGGTTAGGTTAGAGTTCATAATGGGGTTTTTATACTACCTTTTCTTTTTTCTTTTTTTAACTTTTTACCGTTTATTTTTTTTTACATAATTCTTTTTATTACTTCATTTTTAGTAGAATTTTTTTCCCACAAGATCATTATTATTACTCCCTCCATCATAGCCACTATTAGGGGTGTACACCGGTCCAAAACCGGACCGGACCTGTTTGGACCGGGGACCTGAATTGGGTAATTATGAGGACCGGGGACCGGACCTGAATTAACAGGTCCGGTCCGGGTTTGGACCTGAATGGACCTGTTTTGTGTCTTTTTCGTTTTTTTTTTTTTTAATACAAAACCTGTTGGACCTGCATATGGACCTGCATATGGACCTGTTTTGTAATTTTTAGACCTGTTGCATAATTTAATAATTACATACAAACCAAAATTATCAATTACAAAACTACATAAAGTCTATAAAGTCCCGATTCTCAAACACCAAAAATACAAATGAGTCCACCGAAAATACAAATAAGTCCACGAAAACTCAGTTTCAATTTTTCAGAGTTTGGTTTTCTTCTTTTTTTTTTTTTTTTTTAATTACGATTTTCCCGGGTTTCAGGTCCGGACCTGAAAACCCCGGGTTTGGACCGGGTCCGGACCGGGAACCTGGATTTTTAAGAACCGGGACCGGACCTGAATCAACAGGTCCGGGTCAGGTCCGGTCCGGTTTCAGGTCCGGGCCAATTTTTGTACACCCCTAGTCACTATTGGTAGAAAATTATGGGAATTGATAAACATAAATAAGAGGTAGAAAAAGTATTATTATTACCAATTAAAAAAAAATCTGTAATTACACTCCCTATTTTTTCACTATCAACATAGATTGTATATTTGTGCTTTACTTTCGTGCCAACTGAACTCGTGATAAAGTTTCATTTCATATACTACATATTTTGTATATATATTGTCATAACTTAGGGTCTATTTTGTTCACCTTATTTTCACTTACGATTTCAGGTGTGATAAGTTCAAATAAGTTCACTTCATATTTAATAAGTTCTAATAAGGTTATCCAAGTACAAATTAAGACTTAAATAATAAGTTTTAATAAGGTCTAGTAAGTTCATATAAGTTCAGGTAAGTTAAGATAAGTCAGGTTAGTGAAAATCAGATGAATAGAACACACCCTTATAGACTTAATTATTGTATATTATAGATTATTTAATGTTTAGTTTGATAACTCATATGATTCGTAATATACTAATTAATATTACTTTAAACTTGTTGGAAATATGTTATATTGATAAAACTGAAGTTATTGGTTAAAAGTGCGGAGTACAATTGTGTGTTATTGTAGAATTATAGGCGTTATACATCGCACGGTTATATACTCACTACATACATATGCAATAATTTATGCTTAAATAAAAAGAATTTACATAGTAACAATTAACTATCAATATGTATAATGTCAAGTTTTTAATATACAAATTGAATTAGTAATAAAGTAATTCTAACAACTCTAACAAATATCTTTCAAAAATTGAATTAGTAATAAACTAAACTAATAGTACAAAACTCATAGCCTCATATGATTGTACAATTGATGAAGAGTTGTAAACTTGTAATAACCTAAAAAAATGACTTACTTTTTTTGTATATATCACCATATGTAACTATTTTTCGTCAATATATCACTAGCTCGGTCTCACTTCTCACTTATATAGGTATGATAAGTCATCGATAATTATTCAATCTCAATATTCCTCAAAGATAAAAATTACACATAACTTGATCAAATGAGAAAACTAAAACTTCGTGCTTCGTAATTAATAATCATATTGACCCAATAATAAGGTAAAAACTAAACAATATCTCTAGTTTAAAAATAACCTTATTTGGATATGAATTTGGTCAACTCGACCAAAATCCAGCCAAACACAAAAAGGAATTGAACCGAAATTGACCGAAACGAAATCAACACGACCCAAATTCATCCGACCCGAAGTTACCTGGCTAAACCCGTTTTAAACCCGATCCAAATATATCCAAACCGAAAGTGAATCAATCTTAAGTTAACCCGACCCGTATCCGACTCAAACTCGATAGACCATGACCCGAATTTGACCTGATCCGAGTTAAAAAGATAATTTTGATCCGAACAGACCCGACCCGAATAGACCTGACCCAAACTCCATCTGTTTATCCGAATTGACACCTCTACTTGTGATTAGTGGAGAATGGAAAGCTCTAAAAATAGTGCACTTGGTGGATACTATCAACGTGTTTAAAAAACCTTGGAAAACCACAGCGATAACAAAATACCTCGACAATATGCATTGATAACTTGGGGAACCGTGTGCAATTCAACAAGAAACATTAAAATTTAAACAAAAAGAGACGCACCATTTTAGATTTAGTAAGCATCATATACTATTAACAAAAAACGCATGTCTATAAATTTATAACATTACTAACCAAAACCAAAATAAAAGTCATACAATTAGCTTAACAAATTAAGTTCTTATTGATTCTAAATAACAACATCAAAAATCAGCACTCAATTGCAAATAAACATAAAAAAATAATATGATTGCCTCGACTAAGCTTGAACACAACACCTTCATCTATTTGCACATCATACTCATTGATCAATTCATGAACTTCTTTCTTAATAAAAAAACACTTCACAATTTTATTTCCAGAAGTGTGTATCTTCAATTCGGATTCAAATTCTGAATCATAAAGGCGCAACAGTATTTTCGTTGTTTCTCCAAGGTTTTGAAAATGGTCTCGAGAATAATCTACTGGAACATTCTACATCCAACAAAAGAAAAAACAGAAAAAAAAAAAAAAAGGAAACCATACATGTATAAACACCACAATATCCAATATAATATGACTTTAAAAATATCAACATTATAGACATAAATAAACCAAAACAAAAACACATACTATAATTCCTTGTGAATGATACGATTTAGAAAACACAAATTGGAAATAACGACCCCTTTAATCTAGTTGACATACTATTTGCCCAACTATTTGCCTAAATCATCCTAGATGAACATCCTTGAATCAAAAGCTTACAACCACGCTTGTTAGCACCATTACCACCTATATTTGCCATTTGTATAAAAATAATTTTAAAAACAAGGACAAAAAAATCACAATAATGATGCTTTTATAGGGCAAAAAATAAAACAACTGAAATATGCAGTCCACACTTAAGTGAAACAAATACTTAATAGTAATAAGTTTCACATTAATCTTTAACTTTAATATGCATGAAACTGATTCCCTACAAAAATCAAGCAACATAATGTAATTACATTCACAACTTACAATTGCAAATTCCAACTCCACACCTAAGTCAAACATATACTTAATAATATATATAATGACACCTTCCACATAAATATCGCACTTTAATATTCATAAAAGTACCTCAATTAGAAAAAGTATGATTAAATGAACCTATACATTATTATGGTATATATCATTACCACATAAATCAAAACATAATAGGCTAATAAGAACTAAGAAAAAAATTAAGTTGAATAAAGTAAAAAGCAGTTTTGATTAGTAAAAATCAAGTTACTCGATAAAAACTTTGACAAATAGAAAATTAGATTTAACAAAAAAATAATTCTTAATATTTTGTGTTTGGGTCCAATTTAGTCCAATTGGGCCTGGTCACTGAATGATCCAATTAAAAGCCCAAGGTTAAGGTTCAACTCTCCAAATGTGCTAAAGTCAAAAATCAAACATCCTCAAAGCCATGTCAAGGTCAGTCAACGGCCCAATCAGCTTGGCCCAGCCCAACTGACTTCCGGGCCCAATCCGCCTCCTTCATTAGCCAAGGTATAAAAGCCAACAATTTGGTCAATTCTTGGTAAGACAACAAAGCCTCAAGCAACTAAACTCTTGCACAGCTTTCTCTCTCTAATATACTGACTTAAGCATCGGAGGGGCCTTCCTCGGCGTCCCCCCCGAGGCTAGTTTACGTGTATTTGTTGTGCAGGAAACCCTCGGCTCCTGCGTTGTTCGGACCGAGACCAAGTTCCCTCAAGATAAAAGGATCTTCCGAGATTCGATTATTTTCATCCGAAACAATTTGGCGCCGTCTGTGGGGAACGCTACTAAATTTCGCGTCAGTCATCAAACACTCCGGCAGTCGCCATGACTAAGAGTGGAAAGAGTTCCAAGAAGGCTAAGAAGG